ACCATCCATAAAATAACCCAGAATATCAGTAATGCAAAGAAAATACTACATTTTATAGAGAGCTTTGAAGCAACACGTTTGTTCAAACCAGCTCTCAGTAAACTGTGACTGCGTGCACGTCTCCGGGTTGTTCATTAAGTGATAAGTGACATTAAGCTTATAAAGCCGCTCACTCCCTCAGGATCATGGACCCGTGTTACCACCAGGTGGTGCTGCACACTCATTTTCTTTTTGAGGAAAAAGAGGCTCATATATTCAAACGTGGATTGCATGTCTGGTATCTAAAAAATATGGCACCCTCTGTGAAAGATGCAGTGGTGCAGCATCACAGCTGAGACAAAGGCGTGGAGGTCCGGTTCATGGATATCAAAGATAAGCAGCTGATCAAAGCCGTGCTGATACCAAACTTCCTGCACGTGACTTTGTGATGAAAAACAACTGAAAAACTCGTATCATGAAGACGACAAAAACCTGCTCATGCGTCCCTGAACTCGGCCAGCAGGAGGCCGTGCAGCTCGTCGCTTCTGCAGGACGCAGCATCACCGCGCACAACAACTTCCATGAAATTACATCACAGCGTCGAGCCCACCTCCCACCTCGGTGCCGCTCTTCCTCCCTCCATCCAGCCCTCCTCCTCCTCCTCCTCCTCTTAAGCCATGCGGGGGCTGACAGCGAGGCCTGCACACACATACAAAGAGCTTTCTGACGTCACGGAGTGCGTCGAAGCCCAGACGGGGGATTCTGAGGCTGTAACATGCCAGGACTGCGCTGCATTACAGGAAGAAGTGATCCCGGCACATCTATAGCGCTGTGGATGGACTTAATCAGACGGGAAGCTGTGTGAAAGTGATCACAACAACAACAAGAGCAGAAAATGCAGCTGAAGGTGTTTCACTGATTAAAAATGTAGGTAATTATAGTCAAAATATCAAAATAAATCTAACAGCAGACACTTGTAATCCCCTCAGACGGATCAGTGTTGCCTTTAAGTAGAAGAACAACAGAAAGGGAGTTGCAGGTTGTAGAATAATAATAATAATAATAAACCCAAAGAGTGAGAGTTCAGCGGTTACGTAACATCCTCAGCTGCCTCCTCGGCCTCCTGAAAGTCAATCCCTCAGTCAAGGTCGAGTCTTTTGATGCTTTGTTCTGGGATAGCCGCGGCAATCACAGAAAACCCGCTCAGATGTTTGATGCTCCGTGACGCGACAGCCGACACCTGCGCCCGCCTCGGCTCGGTGCGCGGCGGCGACTCGCGAAACGAATCGACGGCGTGATCGCGCGGTGAGATTTGAGTTTAAGAACTTCAGTGAGCCGAGGAGAAAAGAAGGATCTGTTCAGTGTCACTGCTTTGTAAGGCGGTTTCTCTGCAGCTTCATGACGGAGGTGCAGCTCGGAGATGCTTTTAAGGATGCCTGCGGTGTGTCGACACGCAGCCGCGACTCTCGAGCTGGTTTATTTGGGAGACGTTTCAAAGTTCGAGTCATTCTTTGGCAAGTGGTGAAGGAGGCTGGATGAAAGCGAAGCGAGGAAGGTGAGACATTCATGAAGTCTGGAGCTGGAATTACAGCCTCTGCCGGCTGAAGTTTACATTCCGACTCATATTCTATCCTGCGTGCAGTGAAGAGGTGGAAACCACAGATTAGAGCAGTAGTCAGGGTGTGAAGCCAGAAAATCATTTGGTATGATGTCGCGGTGAAGCTGACCTTTGACCTTTTGGGTATAAAATCACTTCCTCATTTTATCCAGTTAAACGTTTTGACATAATAAACATTTGACTTCTTGAGTTACACCAAAAACACCATTTGTGAGGTCACAGTGACGTTGACCTTTGACTGTCAGATCCTCATCAGCTCACTATTGGAAAACCAGTGATGTTGACCTTTGACCTTTTCAGTATAAAACGTCATCACTTCCTCATTTTATCCAATTTTGTCATAATTAGTGAATGAATGATTGAATTATGGCCCTAAACTTGATTTGTGAGGTCGCAGTTACCTTGACCTTTGACGATCATCCTCATTATTGGATCCAAGCAGACGTTTGTGTTAAAATTTTGCACCACGATGCAACGTGCACTGAAGGACTTGAAGGAATTTATTATCACCACAGATTAGTGTCACCACAATAGATATTTAATCAAATATCCAGAGAAGTGCTTTTGTAAGATGCCACAGTGACGCTGACCCTTGACCTCTTGAGTATAAAACATTCATATTTTCTCTTTTTTCCAAATAGACATTTGTGTGAAATTGTGTCACAGTTTGCATATTAGTTCTTGAGTTATGGCCAAAAATACATTTTTTAAGTCACAGTGACTTTGACCTTTGACTGTCAGATCCTCATCAGCTCATGATTGGATCCAAGTGGACGTTGGTGTCAAATTTTGCACCACGATGCAACATGCACTGAAGGATTTGAAGGAATTTATTATGTGGACACCAAAGATTGGTGTCACCATGATCAGTATTTGACCCAGAAAAGTGTTTTTGCACAGTGTTATGATGCCACAGTGTAGTTGACCTTGGACCTCTGACCTCTTGTGTATATAATGTCATCATTCCTCTTTTTATCCAATTAGACATTTGTGTAAAATTTGTCACAGTTCGCATATTAATTCTTGAATTATGGCCCAAAACACAATGTTTTAGGTCACAGTGACGTTGACCTTTGACTGTCAGATCCTCATCAGCTCAT